ATCCCGTTTTGCGACTTTCTGACAAGCAAAAGTCCATGAGGGAAGCCAGATTCACTTAACAAACCTATTACTAATTGGATCAGTGATTCACTTGGCAATAGTCGCAAGAAAGGTGGTAAAATGGCGCAAAGTCCGCTTAACAAGTTTAGCAGCAGAAATGTTGGGCTCAATTGTGGTCGTAAATTGAGGATTACCTGTTGCAAAAGAACAAGAAATATTTCCATTCCATTCCATTCCATTCCATTTTCTCTTCTCTTCTCTTCTCTTCTCTTCTCTTCTCTTCTCTTTCTCTTCTCTTCTCTTCTCTTCTCTTCTCTTCTCTTCTCTTCTCTCCTCTCTCTCCTCTCCTCTCCTCTTCTCTTTTCCCCTCCCCTCCTCTCCCCTTCTCTTCTCTATCCAGTTCTATCCTATCCTATCCTATCCTATCCTATCCTATCCTATCCTATCCTATCCTATCCTATCCTATCCTATCCTATCCTATCCAGATCATTACAGGCTGGTCTTTCTGGGGGGAACCCGCAATGCTCATGCCAGACAGCAGGGGGCAGTGCCGACTCACAAAAGGCTCTGCCGCCCCCCTCTCCCCAATTTTCATAAGGGCACGTTAATTTGATGCGCATTTAAGTTGATGGAGCAACAGTCAATAAAAGCCTGCGGAGAATGAATGAATGAACGAACGGGGAGAGAGGCCGCTTTCTGGTTCCATCCTGGTTAAAGCATCTCATTTTTTAAAAATACAATGAGATTAATAATCCAGCCCGTCAGATGCCTTCAAAGGAGCTCCTCGCTTAGGAAGGAAGGCCACTTTGCAATTGTGTGTGTGTGTGTGTGTATGAGTGTGAAGTCGATGTGCTGAGTGCATTGATCCGATGGCCTTCTAACTCTTATCCTTGCGTAAAGCCAGCAGCGAGGGACACTTGAATCACAAAACAGACAGGCATTTGGCCAGGATAGGGAAGGGGTCTCTCGATCCTAGGAACAGCACAAACCACGTTTGTTGGTTTAAAAGTGGTTACCGTATTTTTCGGACTATAGGATGCATCTAAATTTAGAAGAGGAAAACAACAACAAAAAGTTTTTGGCCTCCCTTTTTTCGGGCCATTTTTCGGCCCTTTCCCAGTCTTTTTTCAGCCTGTTTCTGGGGCTTTTTCTGGCCTGTTTTCGAGGCTTTTTTTGGCCCATTTTCAAGGCTTTTTTTGGCCCATTTTCTAGGCTTTTTGGGGGCTGTTTTTGAGGCTTTTGGGGGGCCATTTTCAAGGCTTTTTGGGCAGTGTTTTCAAGGCTTTTTTGGCCCATTTTTGAGGCTTTTGGGGGGCCATTTTCAAGGCTTTTGGGGGGCCGTTTTTGAGGCTTTGGGGGGCCATTTTCAAGGCTTTTTGGGCAGTGTTTTCAAGGCTTTTTTGGCCCATTTGAGGCTTTTGCCATTTTCAAGGCTTTTGGGGGCTGTTTTCGAGGTTTTTTTGACCCATTTGTGAGGCTTCTTTTTGGTCTGTTTTCAAGCCTAAAAAATGGGCCAAAGAAAGCCCCCCAAACAGGCTGAAAACAGGCAAAAAAGCAGGCTGAAAAAAGTTCCAAAATGGGCCCCAAAGCCCCCCAAATGGGCCAAAAAAAGCCTCAAAAACAGGCCGAAAAAAGCCAAAAAATGGGTCGAAGAAAGGCCTGAAAAAGGCTGAAAAAGGCTCGAAAACAGGGCATGCGGAGGCCAAAAAAAAATGGCTGGCGGGTGGGCGGGGCTTTGGCAATATTCGGTCTATAAGACGCACAGGCATTTCCACCCCCTTTTGAGAGACAAAAAGGTGCATCTTATAATCCGAAAAATATGGTAAATCTTTAGGAGTGAGGGAAGGCGAGTGACGTTTAGGGAAGGGGAGAATTTTAAGTGGCTTGTTATTACGAAGAGTGGTTTAGTTGGCTTTCACGTTAGAAATGCCAGTTAGTTACAAAATCCTCGATTTACAACAATTCATTTAGTGACTCGGTTAACAACTGCCTTGCTCAGCAGTGGAAATTGCAATTGTCGTAGGTTGAGGACTATAAATGCCTCCCATCTCGCTATCCAAAGTGATTCTGAGTGGAATCTTGGCAAAGCTTGCTGGGGAATTCTGGGAAGTTGAAGTCCACCAGTCTTAAAGTTTGAGAAACCTGATCTTAACATTTGGTCTTAAATTTTTTGAAACCCTCAATGGACAACATGGGAATCTCAGCAGTCAAAGGCGAAGACCAGACAAGTCTCCAAAAAGAATAGAGAACATAGATATTACAGAGTCGGAAGGGAACCTTGGAGGTCTTCTAGTCCAACCCACTGCTCAAACAGTAGACCCTATCCCCATTCCAGACAAATGGCGGTCCAATCTCTTCTTGAAAACCCCCAGTGATGGAGCAACCACAACTTCTGGTGGCAAGCTGTTCCACTGGTTAATTGTCCTCACTGTTAGAAAGTTTCTCCTTAATTCCAGGTTGCTTCTCTCCTTGCTTAGTTTCCATCCATCGTTTCTTGTCTTGCCTTAGGAAAATGAGTTGACCCCCCCTCGTCTTTGTGGCAGCCCCTCAAATATTAAATGTAAAGGTAAAGGTTCCTCTCGCACATATGTGCTGGTCGTTCCCGACTCTAGGGGGTCATCTCCGTTTCAAAGCCGAAGAGCCAGCGCTGTCCGAAGATGTCTCCGTGGTCGTGTGGCCGGCATGACTCAACGCCAAAGGCGCACGGAAAACGCTGTTCCCTTCCCACCAAAGGGGGTCCCTATTTTTCCACTTGCATTTTTTACCTGCTTTCGAACTGCTAGGTTGGCAGAAACTAGGACAAGTCACGGGAGCTCACCCCGTTCCGCGGCAGCACTAGGGATTCGAACCGCTGAACTGCCGACCTTTCGATCGACAAGCTCAGCGTCTTAGCCGCTGAGCCACCGCGTCCCTTCAAATATTAGAACACTGCTAAACATTAAATGAGAAGAGTTGTTCTGATTTTCCTACAATTGTCTTGGAAGGAAGTCGTAATCAACTCTGGTTTAACTCTTCCCAGAAACAGAGTTGTGTATATTTGTGTGTCTATGACCCCCTTGATTAACAAAGGCTTCCGGATGCCGCACACTGCCCGAAATTAATGTGTTTATTTTGGCATCTTGCAATCTGTTGCTTCCCAAAAATCAGATTTAATCACTTGGTAGTTTGGGAACGATCAGCCACCGATCAAAACAAGGACTTTCTTGGAATAAATTTATTTATTTATTTATTCATTCATTCAATTTCTATACCGCCCTTCTCCTATTGGACTCAGGGCGGTGCACAGCCAAGGATAAAAAACATACCAATACAAAATTTAAAATCAATTGAAAGAATTATACAGCTTTGGCCCACAATTTAAAACAATCCAATTAAAACCAAATTTACACTTAAAAAACTAAAAAGCTAAAAAGAGCTAAAAAAGATTATATATATATATCTTTTTTAGCTCTTTTTAGCTTTTTAGTTTTTTAAGTGTAAATTTGGTGTAAATTTTTTAAGTGTATATATTTGGTAAATATATATATATATATATATATATATATATATATATATATATATATATATATATATATATATATATATATATATATATATATATACTTACTTCTTCGTAGGGTTTATGTGTGTTTTTCTTCTAGCCAGGTTTTCCCTACGTAGCCAAGGTTTTTTTGTAGATGTGATTCTACTGAGCTGGAGCTACAAAAAAAACCTTGGCTACGTAGGGAAAACCTGGCTAGAAGAAAAACACACACACACACACACACACACACACACACACACACACATATATATATATTCCTGGTAGAACAGCACAATTTCCTTTTTTGGAAAGAACCGAGGTTGGAAGTTTAGAAGATCAGAAGAAAAGAAAGGGTTTCCCCCCCCCCCAATTATTCCACTTGTCCTAATAATCATTCCACTTGTCAGAAACTCTCTCCTGCATCAAAATTTGCAACGACCCTTCCATGGCTCCTGCTTATAGGTTTTGTAGTCAGACAAGACCCCAACCTCCCTCCTACCAGCAGGAGGGAATCAGATATAATTTCAAAGACGGAATGATTAAAGGTCTGGAGAGTAGATATTAGAAGAGCAACAAAGATGATTGGGGGGGGCTGGAGACTAAAATATATGAAGAACGGTTGCAGGAATTGGGTGTGTCTAGTTTAAAGAAAAGAAGGATTGGGGAGACATGATAGCAGTCTTCCAATATTTGAGGGGCTGCCCCAAAGAAGAGGGAGTCAAACTATTTTCCAAAGCCCCTGAGGGCAGGACAAGAAGCAATGGGTGGAAACTAATCAAGGAGAGAAGCAACCTAGAACTAAGGAGAAATTTCCTGACCGTGAGAACAATTGATCAGTGGAACAACTTGCCACCAGAAGTTGTGAATGCTGCAAGACCTGAAGTTTTTAAGAAGAGGTTGAATAGCCATTTGTCTGAAGTGGTGTAGGGTTTCCTGCCTAAGCAAGGGGTTGGACTAGAAGACCTCCAAGGTCCCTTCCAACTCTTCTCTTCTCTTCTCTTCTCTTCTCTTCTCTTCTCTTCTCTTCTCTTCTCTTCTCTTCTCTTCTCTTCTCTTCTCTTCTCTTCTTCTCTCCTCTCCTCTCCTCTCCTCTCCTCTCCTCTCCTCTCCTCTCCTATCCTATCCTATCCTATCCTATTCTATTCTATTCTATTCTATTCTACTCTAACCCAGGAGAGAAGCAACCTGGAACCAAGGAGAAACTTCCTAACAGTAAGAACAATTAACCAGTGGAACAACTTTCCACTAGAAGTTGCAGGTAGCTTCATTACTGGAGGTTTTTAAGAAGATGTTGGATAACGATTTGTCTGAAGTGGTGTAGGGTTTCCTGCCTAAGCAGGGGGTTGGACTAGAAGACCTCCAAGGTCCCTTCCAGCTTCTATTCCGATTGGATTGGGACCATGCCTGAAACTCTAGCGTTCAAAGTCCTTTCTGCAACAAAGTGCCAGGCTCGACTCAGCCAAAGCATACAAGAGGGGCCATTTCAAAGATCTTTATTTGCAATGCTAAACAATAAAAAAAAAAAACCCACCCACACACTTTTATGGAAAACACAACGTGATTTGTTCAATAGCGAAAGTTCAGTGGCCAACGCACCAGAAATGCCCTCGGGGGCTTCATCGCGGGAAGTAAAGGAGACTGTTCAAGGGCCAGGTAGTCCTCGACTTACGACCATTCATTTAGTGACCGTCCGAAGTGATGATGGCGCTGAAAAAAGTGACTCGCTTTTATGACCATTGCAGCATCCCCGCCATGCCGTGATCGAAATTCGGACCGGGAAGGGTGTGTGTGTGTCCCCGGATCTCCATCTGTGACCTTTCCCCAGCTCAAACTAACAGTAACAGAGTTGGAAGGGACCTTAGAGGTTATCTAGTCCAACCCCCTGCTCACGCAAGGAGACCTGTACTAGGGAGTCGAACTGCTGAACTGCCAACCTTTCTGATTGACAAGCTCAGCGTCTGAGCCACTGAGCCACCTAGTTCAGGCTGACATCCATTAAGTGAAGTCAGTGGGGAAGCTGGACTCATTTAATGACTGTGTGATTCGCCGAACGACTGCAGTGGTTGTAAAATCGGGCACGGCTCATTTTTCACAACCGCCTGGCTTAACAATTGAAATTGTGGCCTCAAAGTGTGGTCATAAGTCGAGGACTATATGTAGGAATTTTCTCTCAGCTCTTTATCATTTTAGGCCGTCTTTCGGTGATAAAAGCCCAACCCCAAAATTAAAAAGGGGCCCAGGTAACAGTGGAGCATCCCCCATCCTTCTGACAGGCCCAAGAAGGAGTTGAGATGTTCCAGAAAACGGCAACTTTGGGAAAACTTTGTTTCCTCTTGAAGCATGTCCAGAAACACGGCGACCCCGTAGGGACCCCAAAAGAGATAAAAAACCCAGCTGATGTTCCAACGGGGGTGGCCCTTCTTTCCACACCCCTTGAGACCCGCCGTGGTCAAGACCACGATGAGCGGGAGAAGGGCCAGAATCACCAAACAGAAGGCCACGTGGACCAGGGACCAGGCGTGAAGCTTGGCGAGACGATCTGGGATGCAAAGCCCATCGGTGCTGCTCACCAATGCGGCCGGGATGGCGCAGAAGAAGCCCATCATCCACAGCAGGGTGGGCAGAAATGGCTGAAGGAGACCCCATGAGCTTCGGCAGGCGGTGCCAGCCGCCAACAAGCCGTGAGCGAAGAGGCTCCCGAATTTCAGTCCATGGATCACTTGGCAGAGACGGTCTTCTATGGCCCACCTCCAGCCGATGCCCAGGGCGAAAAACGGCAATGTGAAAGCATAGATGATCCCTCCGACGGCGAGCAGGACAAGCTCCACCTTCCCTGGCTGGCACTGATCCCAAAACCGAGGGCATTTGGTTAAGGCAATGCCGAGCGCCACGTTGGCAACAATTCCCAGGAAGCAGGTGATGCCTAGGAAAACCGGAATCCCGCCGATAAAACTGGAACAAAAGGTGTACTGGCACGGTTCCGCGAAGTTTTGATACCAGTCGTCTTCCGCTGTTTCGTTCTGGGTGAAGTTGTCCATCAGCTCCCAGAGGTCAGGATTGGTTGTATAGTCATACACGGTGCTGTTGGCTAAATCCTGTCCATTGGGAGAGAGAAGATGGAGAGGTGAGGGACGGGGAAGGAGATAAATGGAAAATGTGAAAGGAAATGGGGAGGATTATACAAATTTAACAGAGTTGGAAGGGACCTTGTAGCAGGGGTGGGGCTGCTGGGGGTTCGTAGGGGTTCGGGAGAACCTCTAGCTAAGATTCGGTGCAGTTCGGACAACCCCCAAATCCCACTCCTGGCTGGCCCTCCCAGGAGTCCCTACGCGGCCCATTTTGGATGCAGGTAAGTGCAGGGCACGCGCAGAGGTTTGGGGAGGGCGAAAAACGGGCCTATTGGAAGATTGGGAAGGCCGGAAATGGGCCCGTTTCTGGCCTCCAGAGGGCCTCCGGAGCCTGGGGAGGCCATTTTCACCCTCCCGGAGGCTCGAGGAAAACCTCCGGAGCCCCGGGAGGGCAACAATGCCCCCCTCTTGCCGTGGTGCAGGAGGCCGACATGGCCACGCCCACCCAGCAACCGGGCAATTAAAAAAATTTTTTTTTGGAAGCCCACCGCTACCTTTGATCATCTTGGTTGCTCTTGTCTTAAAGTTTTCCCAAAGTCTCAACATCTTTTGTTTTTGTAAGTCTGGGGACCAAAATTGGTTGCAGCATTCCAGATGTGGTCTTATTAGGATGATGATACAGGCGAGGATATAGGAAGGGCAACATGTGGAAGATGTTATTTCTCAAACTCTGGTATGGGGGAGGGGGGGAAATATGGGGCCTAGGGGAGTTTTTGCAGAATTCCCAAGGTGGCAAAACTGCAGGAGGATTCGCAGGTGTTTGTGTTTAAGATTTCGAAGAGCAGAGGATCCATTTGGCTCCAGAAAGAAAGGGAAAAAAAGAGTTACCGAAGGGCAGACTTGCTCGGCATGTGAATTTGTTTCCCTCCCAGACGTTCCCTTTGATAACTTTATGCCTCCCTTGCTAGACTGCCACTCGGAATTAATGGGAATTTATCTCTTCACCTTAGCCTTTCCTTAAACACATTTATTATCGGGGAGTGATGTCGATGGATCACCAAACAGGATGGGGAGAAAGAAACTGACTTCTGGGAGGCAGAGAGAGAGAGAGAGTTGCCCCAAAGGGGAAGAGCTGAGAGCGAAATGTTGGAAGGAGAAGGAGAAGAGAAGGAGAAAAAGAGAAGGAGAAGAGAAGGAGAAGGAGGAAGAGAATGAGGAGGAGCTGGAAGGAGGAGGAGGAGGAGGAGAAGGAGAGAAGGAGGAGGAGATGAAAAGGAAGGAGGAAAAGGAAGAGGAAGAGGAGGAGGAGAAGGAGAAGCAAAAGGAGAAAGAGAAGGAGGAAGAGAATGAGGAGGAGCTGGAAGGAGGAGAAGGAGGAAGAGAAGGAGAGGCAAAAGGAAAAGGAGAAGAAGGAGGAGATGAAAAGGAAGGAGGAAAAGGAGGAGGAGAAGGAGAAGCAAAAGGAGAAAGAGAAGGAGAAGGAGGAAGAGAATGAGGAGGAGCTGGAAGGAGGAGAATGAGGAGGAGAGGCAAAAAGAGAAGGAGAAGAAGGAGGAGATGAAAAGGAAGGAGGAAAAGGAGGAGAAGGAGAAGCAAAAGGAGAAGAGAAGGAGAAGAGGAAGGAAAAGAGAAGGAGGAGAAGGAGAAAGAGAAGGAGGAGAGAAGGAGAAGGAGGAAGAGAATGAGGAGGAGATGAAAAGGAAGAAGGAGGAGGAAGAGAAGGAGAAAGAGAAGGAGGAGGAGGAGAAAAAGAAGAAGAGAAGAAAGAAGGAGAAGAAAAAGAAGGAGAGAAGGAGGAGAAGAGGAGAAGAAGAAAGAAGAAGAAAAAAGGAGAAGGAGAAGAAGGAGAAAGAGAAGAAGAGAAAGAAGAAAGAAAGAAAGAAAGAAAGAAAGAAAGAAAGAAAGAAAGAAAGAAAGAAAGAAAGAAAGAAAGAAAGAAAGAAAGAAGACTTTTAGTGTGATGGGGCAAACAGAGTTTGTCTTTTTCATTATGGCCGGCCGATGTTTCCATCTGACAGCTGAGGTGTGGGTGGCAAAAGGGTGCCGGTGTTGGTGTGTCGGTTGTGTGTCTGTGTGTCTGAGATATCCCTTCCCAGAGCAAAACTCCGGCTCAGAGCGGGAGAGGGCTGGATTTTTATACGTTGAATAATTCTCCCCTCTGGCCGCCACTTCGTCCCGCCTGGAAGGAGACGAGGCCATTTTTCATCCTCTTCCTTTAGGTGACGATAAGATCGCAGGCTTGAATTAGAAAAAGACGTTGCGCGAAAGGCAGTCAATTCCTCCCCCATCGTGGTTTAATGAAGCAGAGACCCCAACTTCTTCAAAAAATCCTTCCTTCCTTCCTTCCTTCCTTCCTTCCTTCCTTCCTTCCTTCCTCCCTCCCTCCCTCCCTCTCTCCCTCCCTCCCAACTTCCTTCCACCCTCACTTTCGCCCAACTTTTCTTTCCTTCCTCCCTCCCCCAACTTCCTTCCTCCCTCCCTCCTTCCTTCCTTCTTCCCTCCCTCCTTCCTTCTTCCCTCCTCCCTCCTTTCCAATTGCCTTCCTCCCTCCCTCTCTCCCAACTTCCTTCCTCCCTCCCTCCCTCCAACTTCCTTCCTCCCTCCCTCCTGCACAACTTCCTCCCTCTCTCCCCAACTTCCTCCCTCCCTCCCTCCTTCCTTCTTCCCTCCTCCCTCCTTTCCAATTGCCTTCCTCCCTCCCTCCTTCCTTCCTTCTTCCCTCCCTCCTTCCTTCTTCCCTCCTCCCTCCTTTCCAATTGCCTTCCTCCCTCCCTCTCTCCCAACTTCCTTCCTCCCTCCCTCCCTCCAACTTCCTTCCTCCCTCCCTCCTGCACAACTTCCTCCCTCTCTCCCCAACTTCCTCCCTCCCTCCCTCCTTCCTTCTTCCCTCCTCCCTCCTTTCCAATTGCCTTCCTCCCTCCCTCTCTCCCAACTTCCTTCCTCCCTCCAACTTACTTACTTCCTCCCTCCCTCCAACTTACTTACTTCCTCCCTCCCAACTTCCTTCCCTCCCTCCCTCCCATCCTTCCTCCCTCCCTCCTCCCTCCTTTCCAATTGCCTTCCTCCCTCCCTCTCTCCCAACTTCCTCCTTCCCTCCAACTTACTTCCTCCCTCCCAACTTAATTCCTCCCTCCCTCCCTCCCAGCCTCCCTCCCTCCTTCCTCCTTCGCAAATATATTTCCACCCCATCTTTTAATTTAAAAAGATCTCAAGCTGCTTTCCCAAGGAGGAACATCATTAAAACACAATAAAATTGCTAAATTGCAAACCTAATAAAAACAGTAAAATATAGAACCGCAGCATAAAATAATAAACAGCTTTACAATAACATTCCAGAAGCCGCAGCAGAAACGTCATCAAGATAAAGCCATTCTGAGCCAGACCGGAGCTTCCCTTAGCTCAGCGTCTTCCCCTTTCACGCCGATCCGCCCGGAGGCCAAAACCGGAAAGCTTCTCTGGATGTTTCTTCTCCTAGTAAAGGACACGCTAAGGTAAACTGCTCCTGGACCAGAGGTGGCTTTCAGCAGGTTCTGACCAGTTCTGGAGAACCGGTAGCGGAAATTTTGAGTAGTTTGGAGAACCAGTAGTGGAAATTTTGAGTAGTTCGGAGAACCGGTAGCGGAAATTTTGAGTAGTTCGAGTAGAGTAGTTTTTGAGTAAAAAATTCTGACTGGCCCCGCCCCCATCTATTCTCCGCCTCCTGAGTCCCAGCTGATTGGGAGGGAATGGGGATTTTGCAGTAACCTTCCCCTGGAGCGGGGTGGGAATTTATTTTTATTTATTTTTATTAGTCATATTTCTATGCCGCCCACTCTCCGAGGACTCTGGGCGGCTTACACCAAAGACAGCATACTAAATAGCATCTTGCCCCCCAATAATCTGGGTGCTCATTTTACCCACCTCGGAAGGATGGAAGGTTGAGTCAACCTTGAGCCGGTGAGATTTGATCCGCTAATCTGCTGAACTAGCAGTCAGCTGAAGTAGCTGCAGTACTGCACTCTAACCACTGCGCCACCTCGGCTCATAAGGAGATTTTGCAGTATCCTTCCCCTGGAGTAGGGTGGGAATGGAGGTTTTACGGTATCCTTCCCCTGTTACGTCTACCAAGCCATGCCACGCCCATCAAGCCACGCCCACAGAACCGGTAGTAAAAATTTTTTGAAACCCACCACTGTCCTGGACGTGGAGGTTCTACCAAGATAAGAAACCCCAAAACGTACGGGGGGTCTAGACCCATATTCTCTGCCTTTTCACCTGGCCAAAAGTTACGCTATTTGGAATTTGCCTCTTGCCTGGGATGGATTGTGGGAATCAGGTTGTTTGCACTGGAGTTTTACACGCTTAATTTGCAGTTTTACCCTGCAAACCGCCTCTCCTAATGCTTTTTGCAAAATCCAAGCTCTGTCCTTAAGCCAAACTAAAATAAAAATGGCTCCTCTCTTTGGGCTCCCCTTGTGCAATCCTTTGTGCAAATGAAGGGACGGCTGGCGGACATCCCTCGACTTACGACGGATCGCTTAGCGACTGTTTGACGTTCCCCACCGACCTATCGGGACGGTTCGTTTTACGGCCGTTTGCATCGTCCCGCAGTCACGTGGCTGTGTTTTACGACGGTTTTGCTCAAAATCACACCGTTGGCTTCTATGATTCGCTGAACAATCACGGGGGTTCACTTCCCGCATGAGGATTCACTTAATGACGGGTGCCAAAAAAAAAAAAGGGCATCCAATCAGGTGGGTCATAAAAACTGACTCGCTTTATGACCGTAATGAGTTATAACCGTGGGGGGGTGGGGTCTCTGATGGTCGTAATTCGAGGACTACCTGTATGAGAGCCAAAGGGATTTTGCTTTGTTTAAATAATATCATATCATTTTGTCTATTGATATTTTAGGCTTTTATTGGATCGATTTGTCTAGTTTCTCTTTGCAGTTTTGGTGTTACTGTACATCAATAATGTTATTTCTGGGAGATTTTTTGGGGGGGGGAAATGCTTTTCTTTCTTTCAGCTCCTCACGTATAACATTTCCATTTAAATTCCGATTTGGAAGGTCTGTATATTCCGAACGCCTGCTACAATTAAGGGCAGATCTACCTGCCTTGTATCAAGTTGCATAATTCTTTCATTTTTATTGTCTGCAAGGGAAGGTCAGGGGCTCCCGAGAAAAAAATTTTGCCTTCTTTTCGTGATTATTTTGTAAGCTGATTTCTGCTCCAGAAAAGGTTAATGTCAGATTTGAAAGAAGAGATCCAAACGTAAATGAATTTACTGGATGGTTTGAGGCTAACTGTGGAATTTGACTTTTGAAAAGGTTCAGAATTCATTTTTCTTTTTTGTCTAAGCAAAAAAATAATAATATAATCCCACATATTATGGAGAGAGAGGGAAGGAGACAGAGAGAGAGAGGGAAGGAGAGAGAGGGGGGAAGGAGAGAGGGAGAGAGAGGGAGAAAGGGAAGGAGAGAGAGGGGGAATGAGAGAGAGAGAGGGAGAGACAGAGGGAGCGGGAGAGAGAGGCAGAGAGAGGGAGAGAGGGAATGAGAGAGAGGGAGAGAGGGAAGGAGAGAGAGGGGGGAATGAGAGAGAGGCAAAGAGAGGCAAAGAGAGAAGGAAGGAGAGAAGGGGGAAGATGAGAGAGGGAGAGGAAGGCAGAGAGAGAGAGGGAAAGAGGGAGAGGGAAGGAGAGAGAGGGAGAAAGGGAAGGAGAGAGAGAGAGGGAGAAAGAGAGGGAGCAGGAGAGAGAGGCAGAGAGAGATAGAGGGAATGAGAGAGAGGGAGACGGAGAGAGGGAAGGAGAGAGGGGGAATGAGAGAGAGGCAGAGAGAGGCAAAGAGAGAAGGAAGGAGAGAAGGGGGAAGGTGAGAGAGGGAGAGGTAGGCAGAGAGATGGAGGGAGAGGGAAGGAGGGGGAAGGAGAGAGGGAGAGAGGGAGAAAGGGAAGGAGAGAGAGGGGGAATGAGAGAAAGATGGAGAGAGGGAGAGGGAAGAAGAGAGGGCGCGGGAGAGAGAGGCAGAGAGAGGGAGAGAGGGAATGAAAGCGAGGGAGGAATGAGAGAGAGGCAGAGAGAGGCAAAGAGAGAGAGGGAAGGAAAGATGGGGAAAGATGAGAGAGGGAGAGGGAGGCAGAGAGAGATGGAGAGAGAGAGAAAGGGAAGGAGAGAGAGGGGGGAATGAGAGAGAGATGGAGAGAGGGAGAGGGAAGAAGAGAGAGGGAGCGGGAGAGAGAGGCAGAGAGAGAGGGAATGAAAGTGAGGGAGGAATGAGAGAGAGAGGGAGAGAGAGAGAAAGTGCAATTAGCTAAAAGCACCGATGGGTGTCCCATGGTCAAGGCAGGAGTCGAACCCGGGTCTCCAGGCTCCTAGTCCAGCTCTTCCACCACTACAGTTCGTTCTCGACTTACGACTTACAATTGGGACTGCCGGCACTTCTGTCTGTGTCTAAGGAGCCACCCCCCCTGATTCTTACCACTTTTTTTTGGCTGTGGTTGTTAAGCGAATCCCTGGAGCTGTTCAGCGAATCCCCATGGTCGTTAAGCGAATCCGGCTTCTCCCCACCCCACCCCACCCTGACTTTGCTGGTTGGAAGACCCCTGGAAAGGGGGGGGGGCAAATGGTGGGGGGACTCATCCCGTGAGCCCCTGGGATGCTGCAACCCATGTAAATACATTGTGCCGGTCAGTCCCATGAATTGTGGGGACGCTACGCCAGTCAGCATCATCTTCACCATTATATTAGTAGCCCCCCTCTTCCTCCCAGCCTCCTCGCCCCCCCCAAAAAGATCTCCAAAACCTTGGAAAGACTCACCGTGCGAATGCAGTTACCCATGATGTCTATGCCAAGCCCGGTGGCTTCCACTGAAGTCTGTGTGACCTGGTAGCTCCAACAGTCTTCGGAGGTGGCATCTGGTCTTCATAGATAAGATTGGGGAGGGGGGGAGGATGGGGAGGGGGAGGAAGATAAGCAAGGTGGGTGTGTTCTTGGACAGGAAGCACATAGTGGACTCACTCCATCTTCTGGGTGGAAAACGGAAAGCGAGGGGGAGACGGACGCTTGGCAGGAACTTGAGGAAATATCTCCGGAACGTTTTAGAAGGCACGTCAAATTCCCCTTGGTTTTGGACCTTCTTCCTGGTCTTGGTAGACCTCTTCCGAAGCGGGCCAAAAGCAACAAAGAGGTTCCTCAGGAGAGAGACCCAGGTGTGATGGGTACAATAAACCGACAACGTGCCTTGTGTGTTGTCTCGAAGGCCAACCGTTTTCTTGAGGAGGGTCTGTGGCAGGGCGAGGTCTTTCGCATAGGAATATGGTGGAAAGACCAAGAGTTGTGTAGACGCACCAGTGTTGAAGACAAAGGAAAGAGGATGGAGTGGATGGAGGGGTGGACTTCCACTCCCAGAGTCCCCCAGCCAGGTTGCTTTAAGATGGGAGGACTTCAACTCCCAGAATCCCCCAGCCAGGTTGCTTTAAGAGGGATGGACTTCAACTCCCAGAATCCCCCAGCCAAGTTGCTTTAAGAGGGATGGACTTCAACTCCCAGAATCCCCCAGCCAAGTTGCTTTAAGAGGGATGGACTTCAATTCCCAGAATCCCCCAGCCAACATGCTTTAAGATGAGTGGACTTCAATTCCCAGAATCCCCCAGCCAGCCTGTGTTAAGAGGGGTGGACTTCAACTCCCAGAATCCCCCAACCAGCAGGCTTTAATTCTGGGAGTTGAAGTCCATTCATCTTAAAGCATGCTGGCTGGGGGATTCTGGGAGTTGAAGTCCCCCCATCTTAAAGCATGCTAGCTAGGGAATTCTGGGAGTTGAAGTCCATTCATCTTAAAATTGCCCAGGCTGAGAAAGACTGCATTAGAAGGAACAATAAACCCATCACCAACATTATCCTACCATGTTCCATGAAATTTACTCCCAGGACACAAGGCGCACGATTGTAATCTCAATCTTTAATTTAATTTGCACCGTGCGTGGCTTAATATTAACAATATTAATAACATCATCGCCTTTATATTAGACACACTTCCCATCCCAGCGCGTGTAAACAACTGTGGGTAACAGTTTGTGTTGTTTTGCAAAGCTTATTTCACTGTCACATATTATATTAAAAAAAAGGGGCTTTTTTGGGGGGGGATGATCTCTCTTTTTAGGGGGCAAGAAAACCTCCCACATAACACCATCTCCAGTTGTGAGGTCACACACACCATTGATTTCCTTGCCCGTTGCTCGCAGGTGACGCTTCCAGAGGGCCCCGGTTTTCCTTCCCCCCCTCCCGCCGGCGAATCCCGGCACCGTTTTAGTAATTACTCAGGATCTGAATAATTCAGCAATAATTTTGTATAACAAACGAAGTTTCACATTCTTTAATTACAGCAGTGAAGTGCCGGAGAGTGTGTGTGCGCGCATTTGTGCTAAATTATTCATCGCTTATCATCTCCACGAGCAACTATTAAGACAGATTACTCCGGGGACAAACCAACCTGTTTGAGGGGAATGTGCTAAATTATTGATTCGCCCCCCCCTCCACTGATTTATCTCTTCTTAAGACGTCACAACATGTCTTAGGGCTTTCTCCAAAAGGAACATCTCGTAATATCTTGCCAGCAAAACGTAAATAACTTCTTTCGCTTTAAAGCTGAAATCAAAGGGAATTAGCTCAGCTTCCCCACTTTTCAAAGTTTAATCGGGAAATGCTGATCGGTTGCAGTGTCCCGGGGTCAAGTGATCTTGTTTTGCGACCTTCTGACAAGCAAAGTCAATGGAGAAGCCAGATTCACTTAACAACTCGGTTACTAACTGAATAACTGCAGCGATTCACTTAACAACTGTGGCAAGAAAGGTCGCAAAACGGGACAAAACTCACTTAAGCAAGTTTCTCACTTAGCAACATAGATTTTGGGCTCAATTGTGGTCGTAAGTCTAGGGCTGCCTGTATATAAGTTTTGTTTTTTTTCCTTTTCCTTTGGCCAGCTATTTGAGTGAAACCTCCATAAACTGGCGCAGTCTACCTTTCAAGACAATGCCAGGAGCAGACCAGAAGGGGAAGCTTCGACGTGATGACGTCATCATGGGAATGCTGCAATGGTTGTAAGTGCGAGGATCGGTCGTAAGTCACTTTTTCCAGTACAGGTAGCCCTTGACTTATGACCACAATTGAGCCCAACATTTCTGTCGGTAAGAGAGACATTGGCTAAGTCAGTTTTGCGACCGTCGTTAAGGGAATCCCGCTTCCCCATGGACTTGGCTCGTGAGAAGGTCGCAAAAGGGGATGACGCCACCATGGGAGACCGCGACCGTCGTAAGTAAATACGAGCCACTTGCCAAGCGTCTGAACTTGAATCACGTGACCCTGGGGAGGCCGCAACGGTCATAAGTGTGAAAAACGGTCATAGGTCACATGTTCAGAGCTTTAAATGGTCACTAAATGAACTGTTGTAAGCCGAGGACCACCTGTACCATTGCAAGTGTGAACTGTCATTGATGGGATGATGGTAAGTGAAGGACTGCCGTACTTGCATTTCCCCTTAAAATAATAATAATAATTAATAACAACAACAAAACAACAACAAGAACAACTCATAGATGTTGAAAGGGCTGTGCTATCGTGCTAATTCCCTACGACCAGGGGTGGGCTGCTGGGGGTCCGCAGGGGTTCGGAAGAACCTCTAGGAAAGATTCTGTGCGGTTCGGAGAACCCCCGAATCCCACTCTTGGCTAGCCCCGCCCACTCCACCCCTCCCAGGAGTCCCCACGCGGCCCATTTTGGATGCAGGTAAGGCTCAGGGAGGGCAAAAAATGGGCCTACTAGAAATTTGGGAATTTGGCCTGGTTCCGGCCTCCAGAGGGCCTCCGGAGCCTGGGGAGGCCGTTTTCGCCCTCCCGGAGGCTTGAGAAAAGCCTCCGGAGCCTGGGGAGGGCAAAAATGCCCTCCCCACCGCTGTGGTGCAGAAGGCCGACTAGGCCACACTCACCATGGCCACACCCACCCGGCGATCGGGCAGAGAACCCCTTGCTAAAATTTTGGAAGCCCACCTCTGCCTAATACGGAGGATCCCGGATCTACGCGCCTTCCGCCGCGCTCTTAAGACCTTTTTATTTCACCAGGCTGGTCTGGCCTAACCTTTCCCATTCTTTTTTAATGTAAATTTTAATGTAAATTTTAATTTGTTCTTAACCTGGGGTTTTAAATTTGTCTTGGGCTAAATTGATTTAATTCGATTTTATTTCTGCTCTTAATTTTTGTATTTTACGTGTTTTACTCTGTGCCTGTTCACCGCCCTGAGTCCTTCGGGAGTAGGGCGGTATACAAATTAAATTAAAATAAAAAATAAAATAAATAAAATAAGACCCATGCTCCTGAACACCCTAGAAAACCAAAAAAACTCAGTAAAACAATAAATAGCTTTAATGGCTATTTATTGACCTTCCCCCCCTCCCCTCCTCGGCCAGGTGGCCACCAGGTGGCAGTGTGGAGCTATCGATCCCAGCCAGACACTCCCTCAATGGATGTTGCTGAAAAATTTGGGGTGGGGGTGGAGGGGTAGAGGTTAAAAAAATCTGGGTTTCTCTGTTAATAAGAGATGGGAGGGAGGAGGAGGAGAAAAGAAAAGGAATGCACTTCTTTCTCTCTTGATTGACACCTGCCATCTGCCTGTCATCTCCGTTTCAAGAGAGATGGGGTGGGGTTATTGCAAGCTTCTCCTTAATATCAAGGAACGTCCTCTGTTTCCCGGCGCTGGAGAATTATTCGTCTTCCATTTTCTGGCTGGATTTTGGGGAGGGGAATTCTGGAAGGGGGCAACGGCTATGGGGTGGGGGGAGAGACCAGGCCTCGGTGGATGCAGAGAAGATGGTAGGAGTTTGACAGGCAAACCCCCTCTGGGCCGCCTCTGAAGCATTACGCACGGCTGCCCCACAGCGCCTGCCTCGGAGTGCCCGGAGATTTCCCCTCTGTCCCTGGTGTTGGAAGAAATGTCCATCTGGGTTCAGTTCCAAGTGGGGGAAAAAAAAGACACTGGATTTATGGAAGTGACTTGGAAAGATGGTTTTTAACGGGCTTATCACATGCCTTGAAGTGAGAGAAAAAAAGGGAAGGGATGCTGAGAGGTGCCCGAGTTTTATACCCTCTCTGCAGTGGTGGGCGGCTAAGGGTTCACAGGGGGTTCGGGAAAACCTCTAGGGAAGATTCTGTGCAGTTCGGAGAACCCCTAAATCCCCCTCCTGGCTGCCCTTCTGCCCACCCCGCCCCTCCCCTCCCCGGAGTCCCCACACAACCCGTTTTGGATGTAGGTAAGTGCACGGAGGCTCGGGCAGGGTGAAAAATGGGCCTACCGGAAGTTCGAGAAGGCGGGAAACGGGCCTGTTTCCAGCCTCCAGAGGGTCTCCGGAGCCTGGGGAGGCCGTTTTTGTCCTCCCGGAGGCTCGAGGACAGCCTCTGGAGCCCGGGGAGGGCAAAAACAATCTCCCCGCCGTGCTGCAGGAGGCCAACTAAGCCACGCCCACCATGGCCACACCCACCCAGCAACCGGGTGGCGAACCCCTTCTTAAAATTTTTGAAGCCCACCCCTGCCTCTCTGGGCTTTTGAAATTGAGCTTGTATTCTGATTGGTTGTCAGACTCCATGGGGCCATGCAGGGGGAACTCCGTAGGCTGTCCTGAGTCCCAAGCTTGGTTGAGCTTTGCCGGGTGATGTAATCTTCCCAGGTGCCATGTGGTGAGACGGGTAGAGGGCAGGGGTGGGCGTCAAAGATTTTAGCAAGGGGTTCTCTGGGGATCAGAAGAAGAGAGCCAAAGGTTAGAAGTAGCCAGGATAACATGTCTTTTTTGACTTCCGGTGAGTGCGGGAAAAGTTGGAAGATGGATCGCTGTTGTAAGTCGAGGACTATCTGTACTGGACTGGATAGGATTCCGTCGTGTCTTTTAGGTAACCCACCGACATTCTCCCTCCTCTTTTTACGAGCAGGAATAAAAGTTATTGCGTCTTTCCCGAATGATCTACCCGTATTATTCCTGAGTTCAATTCCCCTTCTTGTTTTATTATGGTGGATGACAGATGGAGTCCCTGCAGGTCATGGAAACGGTAAGCGGTTTTGCGCGGAGTAACTGATGAGTAACTTCACACGGCGTCTAGGAGAAGCGAGGAGAGGTCATCAATCTTGCAGGTAAGGGAAAATTTCCGCTGGGGGAAGAGACTGTTTACGGGTTTACACTTTATTATGATGATTATTTTTAACAAGGGGACAAGGATTATTTTCCCCTACATCTCGCCATGTGGGGGGGGGAGATGAAATTCACCGCAGAGGAGGCTGTGAGCAAGACGCAGCTACAGAGTTGAGTGCCTAGAGTGTCTCTTCCTCTCCTCTTGTCAGATAGGAAGAATATGTGAACCAAGGGAGATATTTTGGAGAGAGTTGGATTTGGGCTTGGAAGGGAATGGGATGCACATGCACAAAGAACATGGCGGCGACGAACATGGCGGGTGGGACGAGCGAGCAGCGATGTGGGGACCAGTTCGGAGGCAGTTATCGCTACCGGCTCGGCGACCTTGGCCAAATTTTGAACGGTTCGCGCGAACCGGTGCGAACCGGCTGAATACCACCTCTGATCGGGGTCTTGTTTGATGACGGTTACTGAAAACATCTGGATGGGGCATTTTAACATCCCAGAAGGCTGTCTCTAAGCTTTGTAAGGTTGCTTCAGCCCCAACTGAGAAAAATATTCCAGATGTGGGGAGTTTGACGTAAGGACAGTGTTGAATGCAGCCGTTGACGGCTTGAAAATTCTCTCTTGCCTTCAAAGAATCAGGAAATAAGTCACCAATTGCAGTGGATCTGTTTGGGGAGGGGGTTAATCTTAGTTTTGAGGGGGTGGGGAGGCGCCCCCCCCGCAGCCTACTCAGCCCTGCACTTTTGACATGGGGGATGGGAGTCATTGTGCAATTTACAGGTAATCCTTCACTTATGACCACAATCGAGCAGCTCGACGAGAGAATGGAGTTTTGCCCCAATTTACGACCTGTTTTGGCCACCGTCATTAAGCAAACACCAACTGTTGTTAAGGTTGTGACATAGATCCGGCTTCCCCATCGACTTTGCTGGACTGGAGGTCGCAAAAGGGGATCGCAGGAGCACGGGATTACCGCAACCGTCCTAAACGGGAGTCCGTTGTCGAGATCCAGATGCAAATCACATGACCTGGGGATGGTGCAACGGTCGTAAGTGTGAAACATGGTTGTAAGTTGCTTTTTTCAGGGCTGTTGTAACTTCGGTCACGAAACTATTGTAAGAGGATGATTAGCTGTAATTTAAGTCGGGATCGTCCTCCGCCCTGGCTCCCTCATCTGCTCCCCTTTCTTCAGCCAGATGTGCACCCCGCCATACCAGTGGTGGGTTGCTCCTGGTTCGGTCCGGTTCTATAGAACTGGTAGTAAAACCGGCGGGAGGCTCTGCCTACCCACCACAACATCGTCATGGGTGATCTGTGCATGCGCAGAGGTGTGTGTCCATACCCGAGTGAAGCGAGCGCACGGGCGATCCCGTTGCGAACCGGTAGTAAAGTTAAGTGGAACCCACCCATACCCCATGGGCAGGAAAAGGGGGGGGGCTTTGGGGGTTCGGTTGGCGGTTCAGCAAGGTACAGCAGGGCCTGGTTGCGAATCCCCGCATGATTTGTGCTCTCCCGTGCATGTTAACTGCCTTGGCAGCTGCTGTTTGGGTAAAAGTTAATTAAAGAAACCATCGTAGCCCATTTAGAGGCGAGGGCTAATTCGGGGGGAGGGAGGGGGGGATCAAAGAAGCGTAATTGGGGAGGGGGAGGGGGAGGCTCCTGTAGGATTTGCAGCTCATTCCGAAGCAGCTCACTCCACGAATGTGGTTGGGGTGGAACAAGGGAAGGGCAGTACTGGCCGAGCCCTTGGGCCACTTGGTGCCAACCTGGCATGCGTGCCTCTGTTCGGGGGTGGGGAGCAGCCCCCCCGGTCATAGGAGCCGGGAAGGGTCTGTGCAGCTGAGCAAAGAAAGATCCCATTGGAAGTCCCCGTTTTGTGTCCCGCACTGCCACTGAGCAAAGCAAGTCAGAGCTACCAGGTTAGTGGAGAGGTAGCATTCACACAATTTATGAGCCTTTCTTTCTTTCTTTCTTTCTTTCTTTCTTTCTTTCTTTCTTTCCTTCTTTCTTTCTTTCTTTCCCCTTTTTCTCCCTCCCTCCCTTCCTCTCTTTCCTTCCTTCCTTCTTTCTTTCTCTTTCTTTTTCTCTTTCCCTTCTTTCTCCCTCCCTTCCCCTTCCCTCCTTCCCCTTTCTTTTTCCTTCCCTCCTTCCTTTCTCTTTCTCTTTCCCTTCTTTCTCTCTCCCTCCCCTTTCTTTCTTTCTTTCTCTTTTTCTTCCTTTCTTTCCCCCTCCCTCTCTCGCCGTTCTTTCTTTCTCTTTCTTTCTTTCTCTTTTTCTCTTTCTTTCTTTTCCCCTCCCTCCCTCTCCTTTCTTTCTCTTTCTTTCTTTCTTTCTTTCTTTCTTTCTTTCTTTCTTTCTTTCTTTCTTTTCTTTTCTTTCTCCCTCCCTCCCTCTTTCTTTTTTCTCTTTTTTCTTTTCTCTCTCTCTCTTTCTCTTTGTTTCTTTCTTCCTCCCTCCCTTCCATATGAAAAATATGGATTCCTTGATCTCGAATTGGTAACCTCTGATCCAACCAATTTGTTTCTCTTTTTTTTTTCTTCCTGGAGCTCCTTCCAAGTAAGATACAGAAGCTTCTTGACACTCATGTCTATTTTTCACCTTAAAAAAATATTTTACAAACCTACCTGGCAGGTTGAAATAAAACAGGATTTTTTGCGAGGGGTTATCCGAAGCCATTCGTGTGGATTAATGCCTAGCTATTTAAAGGAAGGGACGGCAAGAAAACTTAACCTCAAATTATCTTCACTCTGTGCAGCGACTTGGCATAAAATGGACCAATTTTCAACCAATTTACTTAATGACATTATTATGCAATGATGTAAATGACATAATTTGTGTAATGGTGTCATTCAATGGTTGTGGGTGACATACCTTCCGATTTAATGGGCCTTTGAGAATCACAGGTGCCCAATGAACTGATTAAGATCTTTTTTCACTATATATGGTTGTTTATTTTTATTTTTTAGTCAAAGAATGACACACTCAGAACAAAATTTAAGACATTAGTGGTAGATCATCTTATCTACATCCATATCTATCTATCTATCTATCTATCTGTCTGTCTGTCTGTCTGTCTGTCTGTCTGTCTGTCTGTCTCTCATCTATATCTATCTATCACTTATATCTATCTAATCTAGCTCTATCTATCTATCTATCTATCTATCTATCTATCTATCATCTATATCTATCTAATCTATCATCTATCTATCCATCATCTCTCTCTCTCATCTCTCTCTCTCATCTATATCTATCTATCTATCTATCTATCTATCTATCTATCTATCTATCTATCTATCTATCTATCTATCTATCTAATCTATCATCTCTATCCATCATCTATCATCTATCATCTCTCTCTCATCTCTCTCTCATCTATATCTATCTAATCTATCTGTCATCTATCTATCTATCATCTATATCTCTATCTATATTTATCTATCAATCCTATCTATCTACCTATCTATCTATCTATCTATCTATCCATCATCTATCTATCATCTATCATCTATCATCTCTCTCTCATCTCTCTCTCATCTATATCTATCTAATCTATCTGTCATCTATCTATCATCTATATCTCTATCTATATTTATCTATCAATCCTATCTATCAATCCTATCTATCTATCTATCTATCTATCTATCTATCTATCTATCTATCTATCTATCTATCTATATCTATCACTTATATCTATCTAATCTATCTATATCTATCTATCTATCTATCTATCTATCTATCTATCTATCTATCATTTATCTATTTATCATCTATCTATATCTATCTATCTATCATCTATATCTATCTATCACTTATATCTATCTAATCTATCTATATCTATCTATCTATCTATCTATCTATCTATCTATCTATCTATCTATCTATCTATCTATCTATCTATCATCTCCCTATCTGCTAGCTCCTTGCTGCTGAATATGAAACACACATACATATACAAGTAGTCCTTGATTTACGACAATAGGGACCAGAAAATTCACTGCTGAGTGGTGTGGTCATTAAGTAGACATCACATGACTCTGATTTGTGACCTTCCCTGCCTTCCCCTCCCCAGAAGCTTCTGGGAAGGTCATCAACAGTGATCATGTGATGCAATGGTCATAAATAAGCACAAGGACCGGTCATAACTTAAGGCAGTTTTTCACAACACTGTACAACGTCAAACGGTTACTAAGCAAATGGTTGTAAGTTGAGGATTTACCTGTGTGATAGACATGTAAATGATTGTCACCTAGACGGTGTAAAGCAGTTTTTCTCAACCGTGGCCTTTTTGAGATGTAGGGACTTCAACTCCCAGAATTCCCTAGCCAGCACAACACAGCTGGCTGGGGAATTCTGGGAGTTGAAGTCCTTACACCTTAAAGTAACCAAGGCTGAGAAGGTGTGAAGAATAGAGCCGAGTTGGTACTCACTTCCCCGATGCCAACCTTGGCTTTTGAGATTTCGAATCTGCCTTCTTATTTTCTTATTTTTCTATATATAATTTGGGCCAACATGAGGTCTAGGATCTTATTAAAGGAGGGAGATAAGATTCTCAGCTGGTTTTAGCAATATTGGCATGAAATTAGAGCAAGGAACGGCAGTGGCGACGAATCCCACAGAAAGTGGATTGCTGGATAAAATCAACTTTAGGATCCAGCTATTCACTCCAAGTGTGAATTGCCGAAAAGAAAAAGGACCATTCAATGCAAGCAGTTATAAATTAATTGGGTTTTTCAAATACTTTTATCTCCTCCAGTCATCCCCTTCCATGCCCTGGATATTTTTAAATTCCTACTTTAACTTTGCAAATAATTTTTTCCCCCCTCCCAAGGCTCGCTTGCCCACCCCAGCCTCCATCTGTTCGAATCCCCCCCCATCCCTCCCTCCCTCCCTCCGTGGTTAAAGATGTAGAAGACGAAAGAAGAACGTGAGCTTTTATAATGATGACGATTAATTTTTTTTCCTTACTGGACTAAGGAGAGCATGGCAACGTTTGCATATGTATTCATGAAGGGAGAAAGATTTTGAAAAATGGGGAGGGAACGGCGCTGTTGGGAGAGAGAGAGACAGAGAGAAAGAGAGAGAGAGAGAGAGAAAGAGAGAGAGACAGATAGGGAGACAGAGAGAAAGAGAGAGACAGAGAGAAAGAGAGAGACAGAGAAAGAGAGAAAGAGAGAGAGAGAGATAAAGATAAAGATGAAGAGAGAAAGATGAAGAGACAGAGAGAGACAGAGACAGAGAGACACACACAGAGAAAGAGAAAGATAAAGAGAGAGAGAGAGAGAGACAGAGAAAGACACACAGAGAGAGGGAGACAGAGAAAGAGGGAAAGATAAAGAGAGATAAAGATAAAGAGAGAGAGAGACAGAGACACACACAGAGAAAGAGACACACACACAGAGAGAGAAAGATAGAAAGATAAAGAGAGAGAGAGACACAGAGAGAGAGAGAAAGAGAGAGGGAGACAGAGAAAGAGGGAAAGATAAAGAGAGAGATAAAGATAAAGAGAGAGAGACACACACACAGAGAGAAAGATAGAAAGATAAAGAGAGAGAGAGACACAGAGAAAGAGAGACACAGAGAGAGAAAGAGAGAAAGATAGAAAGATAAAGAGAGAGAGAGACACAGAGAGAGAGACAAAGAGAGAGGGAGACAGAAAGAGGGAAAGATAAAGAGAGAGATAAAGATAGAGAGAGACACACACACACACACACAGAAAGAGACACAGAGAGAGAGAGAAAGGGAGAGAGAGACAGAGAAACACACAGAGAAAGATAAAGAGAGAGAGAAAGAATGACTACTTTTCCTTTGTAAATGGAGCTTGTAAAAAAAATTGACTTCCAGTCTCAACCCATTCAACCATGTTACACCCAATTAAAAGCAGTGCTCTAATTGGCTTTTTACAAAAAAAAATTAGGGCTCTCCAAGTTATGCACAAGGGGGAAGGGGTGGCCTGTACAACTTCCTGCAAATGTCTGTGTTATTTTTTTTGTTGTTGTTTTGCTTTTCCGCTACAGATAGTCTTCGACTTACAACAGTTCATTTAGTGACTGTTCAGAGTTATAACGACAGTGGAAAAAGTGACCTATGACCATGGTGGCGCAGTGGTTAGAAGTGCAACATTGCAGGCTAATTCTGCCGACTGCCTGCAGTTTGATCTTGACCGGCTCCAGGTTGATTCAGCCTTCCGTCCTTCCAAAGTCGGTAAAATGAGGACCCAGATTGTTAAGGGCAAAATGCCGACTTTGTAAACTGCTTAGAAAAGGCTGTAAGTGCTATTCCTTCCTTCCTTCCTTCCTTCCTTCCTTCCTTCCTTCCTTCCTTCCTTCCTTCCTTCCTTCCCCCCCCCAGTGGTTAGAATGCAGCATTGCAGGCTGACTCTGCTGACAGTCAGGAGTTCAATCCTGACTGGCTGAAAGTTGACTCAGCCTTCCGTCCTTCTGAGGTGGATAAAATGAGGACCCAGATTGTCGGGGGCAAGAGGCTGACTCTGTAAAGCCTCTTAGAGAAGGCTGTAAAGCACCATGAAGCGGTATATAAGTCTAAGGGCTATTGCTATTTTTCACACTTACAATGACAAAACACTGTGACAAAAATTCAGACACTTGGCAACGGACTTATATTTATGACGATTGCAGTTTGCTGTTGGGGTTTTTGGGCAAGCCCAGATAGATTTATAACACATAGAATAGAATAGAATAGAATAGAATAGAATAGAATAGAATGGAATAGAATAGAATAGAATAGAATAGAATAGAATAGAATAGAATAGAATAGAATAGAATAGAATAGAATAGAATAGAATAGAACAGAATAGAAATAGAAATAGAAATAGAATAGAATAGAATAGAATATCAGAGTTGGAAGGGACCTTCGAGGTCTTCTAGTCCAACCCCCTGCCTAGGCAGGAAACCCTATAAACCACTTCAGACAAATGGTTATCCAATCTCTTATTAAAAACTCCCAGTGTTGGAGCATTCACAACTTCTGGAGGCAGGTTGTTCCACTGATTAATTGTTCTCACTGTCAGGAAATTTCTCCTTAGTTCCAAGTTGCTTCTCTCCTTGATTAGTTTCCACCCATTGCTTCTTCTCCTGCCCTCAGGTGTTTTGGAGAATAGCTTGACTCCCTCTTCTTTGGGGCAGCCCCTCAAATATTGGAAGACTGCTATCATGTCTCCCCTAGTCCTTCTTTTCTTTAAACTAGACACACCCAATTCCTGCAACCGTTCTTCATATGTTTTAGCCTCCAGTCCCCTAATCCTCTTTCTTGCTCTTCTCTGCACTCTTTCCAGAGTCTCCACATCTTTTTTACATCGTGGTGACCAAAACTGGATGCAGGATTCCAAGTGTGGCCTTACCAAGGCCTTATAAAGCGGTATTAACCCTTCACGTGATCTTGATTCTATCCCTCTGTTGATGCAGCCTAGAACTGTGTTGGCTTTTTTGGCAGCTGCTGCACACGGCTGGCTCATATCTAAATGGTTGTCCACTAGGACTCCAAGATCCCTCTCACCGTTACTACTATTGAGCAAGGCACCACCTATACGGTACCTGTGCATTTGGTTTTTCTTGCCTAAATGTAGAACTTTGCTTTTTTCACCCTTGAATTTCATTTTGTCAGATAGCGCCCCATGTTCAAGTCCGCCAAGATCCTTCTGTATCCTGAGCCTATCTTCTGGAATGTTGGCTATTCCTGCCAACTTGGTGTCATCTGCAAATTTGATGAGTTCCCCATCTATCCCCTCGTCCAAGTCATTGATGAAGATGTTGAAGAGCACTGGGCAGATTTATTCTTGAATAAGTGGAATCCGACTATCCCTTCATTCACTTTGCTCGTCAGAAAGTCGCAGAAGCTGGATTCCGTGACCCTGGGACAACGCAACCGTCATAAATATGAGTCCATTGCCAAGCGCCTGAATTTTGATGTCACAACCATTGCGTGAAAAATTGCCCTAAGTCACTTTTTCCCGAGCTGTTGTAAGTCATGGGGTATCTGTACTCTTACATGTGGGGAGACCCTCTGTTGTGGCCCGTCAGCGGCCTGTGCAGCTAGTAGCTGATTCCGACAGCGAGGAGGCTTTTGTGGTGCTGCGCCAGCAGCCTGTGCAGCTGGCACTCGAGTCGGACAGTGAGGAGGCTGGAGAAGATGTGGTGCCAGAGGCAGGGATTCAGCCAGAACCTCCAGAAGCTTCCATAAGTGAAGAGGAAGAAGAGGAGGAGCCTCTTCTTGATGCACGGGCGCGCAGAGCGGCCAAAAGGCAGGAGTGGCTCCGCAGGAGGAGGTCTCCTTGAGAGTAAGGCTTGGGGATAATTGGCCTCTCCCTTAACCTATTTAAGGAAGGACGACAACTGAGGCAATTTGCAGGGAACCACTTCATTCACTCTCCTTCGCGTCTTGATCTTAGTTCTCTTATCAGTTTCCTGCAAATTGCTTCTGGGCTTTCTGCCAACCCTAGTAAGATTACGATTATTTCTTCTTTGGATTCTTGTAGGCTGTTAAGAAAGTTAATTAACAGCCTTTGTTTGAAAAAGACTGATTTAATTTAGTAAACTAAGGTTTGTACAGACTTTGTGTGTGCTGCGTTCTTTGGGGTCCGTAGTTGAGGCAGAACACTCTCCCCATATGCCCCCCTGCCCCTTCCCCATGGTTGTCCCTGTTGTTTGATGATGGGCATCATTGAAATTCACACCGAGCAGCCGAGCGGAGCCAACGAGGGCAGGCGGCAGACGCCAGGTGCTAATGCCGCACCCGGGAGATTGATGGAAGGTCCCGGGTTTAATAGAGAACACCAGCTATTCTTTTGTCCGCGGAGAATAGGTCTTTCAAGGTCCAAGCGGGAAATTACTTTTGCAAAGAAGAAAACACGCACATGCATTCACACCACAGGGGCACGGCAAGGCAGAAACGCGAGACACGAAAGCGAGTTGCTCAAGCGCAGGACACAGGCCAGGGTGGCATCTGTGCAGGTTTTATTTTTTTCACCCCAAGCAAAGATTCAGGAGGATGAAGAGAAGAACAGGAAAAGAGAAAAGTGAACATGCTCTTAAGAGGAGGGGTGTCAAACTCAAGGTTCCGGGGCGTGGATCTGGCCCGCAGGACCACCCTGGAAACCATGATGGCCCAGCCCGCGGTGCCTCTGCCAGCAAAAATGGAGCTTGGAAGGGCTGTATACGGCTCTCCCGAGCTCCGTTTTCACTGGCAGAGGGTTGCAGGAGGCCGTCGCAGCCGAAAACGGAACTCGGGAGCCTGTTTTCGCTGGCAGAGCACTCAGTCAAGGGTGGGTTCTACTTACCTTTACTACCGGTTCACAACGGGATCGTGCGCAGATCGCCGATGACGACATCTGGGGTGGTGAGCGAGGCCTCCCGCCGGTTTTACTACCAGTTCTTGCGAACCGGTCTGAACCGGGAGCAACCCACCGCTGCACTCAGTCCACCACAGGCACCCCCTGACATGAGTGATGTCAAGATGGCCACACCCACCCTGGCCATGCCCCCCCCAGCCCACCCAAGGTCAAACCCAACCCTGATGCAGCCCTCAACAGGGGTGGGATTGAAAAAATTCAGCAACTGGTTCGCTGCCCGGTTGCTGGGTGGGCGTGGCCTACTCGGCCTCTTGCACCACAGTGCGGGAGGGAGTGGGGAATGTTTTCACCCTCCCCAGGCTCTGGAGGCTTTCCTCGAGCCTGCAGGAGAGTGAAAACGGCATCCCCTGGGCATCGGAGGCTGGAAATGGCCCATTTTCTGGTACTTCCGGTAGGCCCATTTTTCACCCTCCCCAGGCTCCGGAGGCTTTCCTTGAGCCTCCAGGAGGCTGAAAACAGCCTCCCCCGGGCACTGAAGGCCAGAAATGGCCCAGTTTTCAGTACTTCCTGTAGGCCTGTTTTTCGCCCTCCCCAGGCTCCGGAGGCTTTGCTCGAGCCTCGAGGGCAAAAATGGCCTCCCCTGGGCAGATAGACCTCATTTAGCCACTGCTTCAATTAGTGACTGTTCACACTTATGACGGTAACGAAGAACTTGGCTTTGCAACCAATCCTTGCGTTTAATTTCCTTTGCAGGTCCGTAAAGCAAAGGAAAACTGAAGTCAGATGGTAAGTCAGTGGCGGTTTCACTTAGGGACTGTTTCCCTTAACCGCCAAATGACTCGTCTTAAAAACGGTCACTAAACGAGGACCATCTATACTTGCTTGGTTCCCATTCTAAGATGCACGAAGCTGCTTTTGTTCAAATGCTTTTTGCCAATTTCGTGCGAGACCAGCCCTTTTTTTTTTACCCTGGGGTCCACGAACTTGGACGGAAAAACCACGAGGAGTTTATTTTCAATTAACCTTTAATTGAAATTCAGCTTTTCATTCAATAACATTGTAGGCCAGAAAGTAATCTATAGCCTCGGGGCTAGAAACGTTTCGCTATCTAAAATTATTTTAGCCTTAGAAAAGGCTACTGTCTTGTTATTGATTGAATGGATGAATACGGAAGCACATTTATTACCTTACTACCTATTTGTTTGTTTGTTTTTTAAAAAATATTTTGAGGCTTGTGTTTGAGCTGACTTGCCTAATCGTCAGAGGCTTTTTTAAAAGCATTTTTTCTAAAATCTCTTTGGCCGAAGAGGTTGTAGAAAAAAAAATGCTTTTAAAAGCCTCTGACGATCCCAGCTGAGCTGCGTGATCATCAGAGGCTTTTTTAAAAAAACTTTTAAAAGCATTTTTTGGGCCAAAGAGGTTGTAGAAAAAATGCTTTTAAAAGTAAAAATAAAAAGCCTCTGATGATTGTGCGGCTCAGCGTGGCATGGGGGTGGGGTTGGGGCAGGGATTTTTGCTACCGGTTCTCCGAACCACCCGCTTCCATCGCTACCGGATCGGGCGATCCGGTCTGAACCGGGAGCATTTCACTCCTGAAAAAAAAAAACCCTTTTCTTCTCAACCTCAAAGAAAGACAAATGACAGAATAACAAGAGTTGCAAGGAACCTTACCAGTGGTGGGTTTCAAATTTTTTTACTACCGGTTCTGTAGGTGTGGCTTGGTGGGCGTGGCAGGGAAAAGGTACTGCAAAATCTCCATTCCCTTCCCACTCCGGTGGAAGGATTCTGCAAAATCTCCATTCCCACCCCACTCCAGGGGAAGGATACTGCAAAATCCCCATTCCCTCCCGATCAGCTGGGACTCGGGAGGCAGAGAATAGATGGGGGCAGCAGGGCCAGTCAGAATTTTTACTACCGGTTCTCCGAACTACTCCAAATTTCCTCTACCGGTTCTCCAGAATTGGTCAGAACCTGCTGAAACCCACCTCTGAAATGATTGTCTTTTTAAAGGCCTCCAGTGATGGAATAACCACAACTTCTGGAGGCAAGTTGTTCCATTAGTTCATTTCTTCCCAGTGTTAGGAAGTTTCTCCTTAATTCCAGGTTGTTTCTCTCCTTGGTGAATTTCCACCCGTTGCTTCTTGTCCTGCCTTCAGCTGTTTTGGAGAATAGCTTGACTCCCTCTTCTTTGGGGCAGCCCCTGAGATGTTGGAAGACTGCTATCATGTCCCCCCTAGTCCTTCTTTTCATCAGACTAGACATACCCAGTTCCAGTAAGCGTTCTTCATATGTTTTAGCCTCCAGGTCTTTAATCATCCTAGTTGCTCTTCTCTAAACTTTTCCCAAAATCTCAACGTCTTTTTTGTAACGTGCTGACCAAAACTGGATTGCAAGTATTCCAAGTTTGGTCTGACTAAGGCATTATAAAGGGGTACTAGCACTTCATGTGACATTGACTCAGGGGTGAAATGTACCGGTTTGGGCCGGTTTGCCCGAACCGGTAGTAAAAAATGTAAAAAAAAAAAAAAGTTCTGACGATCCAGCTGAGCGATGCACAATGGTTGGAAGATTTGTTTTTGTTTTTGTTTTTACTTTTTAAGCATTTTCTCTGGAACTGGTAGTTAAAAATTCTTTAAAAAAAAAATGCTCCAACCATCACAGGCGATGTCCAAAATTTATTGCAGGTAATCCTCAATTTACGGCCTTTAACAAGAGTTTGGAATTTTCATAGTTAAGACGTGAGGATGGTTAAGTCAAAACACTCATGTCGATTTTATGAATTTTTTTTTTTTGCAGTAGTCATCAAGCAAACACAAAAAAAGGTCATTAAGCGAGGCAGTACATTCCCAGGAGTGCTTTTTGTCAAAAACCAGCTGAAAAAGCCCGTTTTCAGCAAAAAAAACCTCAAACCAAACCCCACCACATTGTGTAACCATAGAATGCTGAAAACTGTAACTGGGAGCTGATTGCCACGATTGCAAAAGGTGGCATATGACCCTATTGTGTGTGTGTGCGATTGTGATTGTGCGTGCACGTGCTGCTATCAGAACTCTGGATCTGGGACTTAAGTACCTTTGGAGAGTGGGGGGGGTGTCTATCATAACTTGAAATGGTCCCTAAGCAGCCAGTCATTAAACGAGGACTCCGTATGTGACTTACCTGGATTTGTTCACCTTGATTGTTAAAATAAGGATCCAGTTTCGGGAACACCTGAGGCCACCAACCATCACATTCTATTTTTAGCACAGTTGTGTGTTTTGCACCCCCAATTGTTGGGTCTCTGCAGCTATATAGTGTTTACCCGAAAATAAGACCCTGTCTTATATTTTTTTGAACCCTGAAATAAGTGCTTGGCCTTATTGCCATGTGCTCAAAAGCCCGATTGGGCTTATTATCAGGGGAATGTCTTATTTTGGGGAAAACAGGGTATCTATCTATCTATCTATCTATCTATCTATCTATCTATCTATCTATCTATCTATCATCTATCTATCTATCTATGTTTTTCCTCTAGCCAGGTTTTTCCCACGTTAGAGGAAAAAAGACACATAAATCCTACGAAGAAGTAAGAAAATAGATACTATCTATCTATCTATCTATCTATCTATCTATCTATCTATCTATCTATCTATCTATCTATCTATCTATCTATCTATCTACTGTGTTTCCCTGAAAATAAGACCCTGTCTTATATTATTTTGAACCCTGAAATAATCATGAACGTAATGCAACAACTTTGATGAAGGATTTGCTATTGGAATAGCAGTTACTGTATAAAGAAGAAAAGTGAAACACGTAGAAAAAATGAGATAGACCAAAACGATCACCGTAGAAAAAACGAGCTTTGCAAAAATGATCCCCATGTCGGTTAATACTTCGTTGGGTCACCTTTAGCATGAATTACGGCCTTACAACATCTTCCGATGGAGTGAACCAAGTCTTTGAGTTCTGCAGCTGTTATCATGTGAAACCAAGATTGAATGATGGCTTCTATTATGTAGGTTTTATTGCTGGGTCGCTTCTGACTAACCAGTTTCTTTTGTCGGCTCCATAGATTTTCAATTGGGTGAAGGTCTGGGCTATTCCCAGGCATTTCCATTCCAGCAGTGGAATAGGATTATGTTGAAATTCCAGGGGAAAAAAAGTGGTGTTATTAGTCATCAAACCTCAAAAATACACTTTTCCCAAAAGGTTTTCCACAATTTTGGCCACTACTGTAGCCACGATGGAGGAAAAATTATGGCCCAGATTTGGGGACACTAT